GAAAATCTAAAAATGTATCTTATAGCAATATTACTAATTTGGCTCTATTCGATAAAAAATTACACTGTTTACAATTTTTTTTTCAAAAAAATGTTTCAACATATGAAATCCGGTTTTGATCTGTACAAAGATCCAAATAAATGTCCACAAACAAACAAAAAATCAAAATCGAAATTGAGAATTTGTAAGTTTTTTTTTTAGAAACCAAGGATAAAGTTCACTCGGTAGAACAGATAATTTCTACACCATTTTTAATTGTTTAATTATTTCATTTTATAATTGAAATAGATATTGTAAAAAAAAACAAACAATTCATGATTTAAACAGATTCGTATAGGGTATCAATAGAATACATCATTTAGAAATGTGAATTAAACATAAAATACTTGTTGTATACCTAGAAAAACATAATAACACATTTGTTTCCATGTGAATATATATATAAAGCTTGTTTGGATCGAACTGGAATATGTAGCAGTTTCTACAGAAATGGATAAACTTAGTTGGCAGGACAATGATTTAAGTTTTAAAAAACAAACAAACAAACAAACAACAAAAGAAGTCAAATACTTAAAGTCAATAATGAATGACTCATAACTTATTCTTCAAGGCTATTATTGTTATTATTATTATTTGTTCTTACATTTTTCTTTTAATTTAAATGATTAAGAATACTAAACAAAAGTATAACTAAATGCTGCTACATTAATCTCTCATATATTTCAATGTACTAACAATTACTCATTCTTTAAATATACACATAAATAAGCGAAAAAATGTATTCAAACGTGTATATATATATGTATGTATATATATCTGCTCAATTGTTCAATAACAGGTAAATGTTCATTAGATGAGCAGATTTATATTATGTTCTGTGTATGTACATACTGGCTTATGTATATAGATACAAGTATATTCTTTGGGCAGTCAAACACTATTTTTTTTACTCATACAAATCAAATCCATCTGATTGTGTGTTACTTAGAATTGAGCAGATAAAAAGAAAATAACATTGTTTTAAATAAAAATGCAAAACTTTAGAATTATTAGTATTAGTAATAACTAATAGCTGTTATAATCAAGTGATTGAATACAGGCGCATGATACCATTGATTAGACTGTAAATTGTTACCGATTGGGATTAAGATAGAAAGAATACTAAGATAAATGAAACTGTATTGATCAAACGGATTATTTAAAGAACTAATTTCTTATTTTTGATGTATAACACACATTGAAAGGTATAATAGGGAAATAAGTAACTGAACTATAATATTTTATTCATGATAAGTCATAGTATTTCTTCTGGTTTCATTCCATCCAGCATGGTTCTATTTCTTAAGCAGAGATGGATGGCTACTAATAGTAAGATCCGGGATGCGCTTTTTGTTGCATTTCGGATTCATCAGCTCAGTGTATCTGCATCTCAGAGTTAATGTCCATTTTTCGATTAGGACCCAATAACTTTTGCTTCAAAAGTAATCGTGCTATCCATTTAGCCATTATGCCCAGGCAGCCACCATTTTGTGCATTGAGGTGAATTTTAGTTTCAATTCATATACAATTGATGTTTTAATCTTCCCACTGGTGTTTAGGTATGCAATTAATGGGTTACTTTTGGTTTATGTGGCAGCCACTATTCATTTATGTTTAAAATGCTTATCACGTCATGATGATATTGCAGCAATTCGTACAGGATGCGTATTTGTCGAAAGAAATTGATCAGTTACAGTCCTATACACCAATAAAAAGATTCAAGAAACTGATATAAATGGGTTATGATTCTGTTTAGTTCCAACTAGAGGAAACGGTCTTAGCTAATTGCTGTGGCAGTTGAATTTTTCCCAGTTTCCTCCTACTTCATTCAGCATCGAACCCAGGTGTTGAAGAGTGAATCTGCAACTATTGTACCCGAGTAAATGTTATATACGTTGGTCAATAAATGACTCCGGTTCATACTTTTCTGAAAATTTACTAACTGATAGCGACATTCTCTACTTGGTAGCTCTAAAATCTATGAACAATGGCTTCTAACATGGCGAGCTATGTAGATTGTGAGATCAGTGCTGAAGATCATCAGACTACGGACAAGTTATTACTGACTGATATAATAAAAAAATCAGAAACTAATGAATACTTGTATAAAATCATTTAGATTATGACTAGCATTGGAGTTTGGGATGCATATTTTGACCTACTTGTGGCTCATCAGCCGAATATCCCTACATTGCGGTTTTAGTATTTACAGTAGGATTCAAACACAGTACTCTGTGTTTCAAATACAAACCTTCGAATAAATTTGCTTAAGGTTAGCGTGAAACGTTTAAAAAAATAGTTATTCATCAATTCGGTCCAATCAGCTTAAAATGTACATTATTTTAGAATGTCTTCTACCTTTGCATTTTTTTGTACTCCCATTTACTCATCATAAAACTGTTTCGTATGGTCCAGATTGTTACACTATCACAGTTTCTCTATCACAGAGAGAAGCACACTTTTCAGTGCAGTTCCCTATGCTTGTCAAGTTTCATATAAAAATAAAACTTATTTGTCGACAAAACTTTTAAACATTATTCTGTAATTCAATTGAAATGGTCATTAAAGTAATTATTCGTTTTTCCAAAATTTTCTTAATAAAAGCAACCTTATTTAGCATTTAAATCATAATTGAGATCTTATTCTGTGGGCAAAAAACTAAGATCAGTAGATACGTTTATATATTTTACTGGAGTTATTACTAAATTAGTGGCACAAACATTCTCTTAATGAAATTCTTCAAGTTATTTTGTGACGAGCCAATAGATTTTAAGATAGTGACGATAAAAAGTGCTCCTGACCATTGTATGCCTATAAAGTGTTTTCAGAATAAAACTACTTAGAAAATTTTGAAACGTCTTGGATTGAAGAGGACAACTCTATAATGTCATTAGCAAGTAAAAATGACAATGTATGATTGATTACGTGCCCAATATTCTTCGTCCTTCTAAGTTAGGAGGAATCAACAAGATACGTAAATTAGACCTATTTGCGGGCTTATTTGAATTTTACTCACACAAAAAGGATGTTGTCAGTAATGTGCGGGATGATAACCGCTAACGTTGTACAAATGTAGATAAGATAGATTTGCAACTATGCCATCTTTCTACCAAAAAAAATGCGTATACGTACACAAAATACGGTATCTACTTAGGTGTGCTAAACCAGTGTTGGTATGTACCAAACAATTCGGACATAATATGGCAACTGGCCAAATGGATGTATTTGATCTTTTGTGCCATAATCTCTGCTTGAACCCAAACCAAAAACATTTTCATGAATTTATTCAGGAATAATCATTAATTAGTTTCATAACAGAGGTTTCTAATGAATGTGACTAAACTTGAATAAAATTAGCAAACCAATGAGTCCTTATTGTATTAAAAATAACTCAATTATGTTTTATTTTATCACTTGCTTTGTACAGCGCAGAATTTTATTTAAAAATGTATTCCGATGTAACACTTCTTCAACCAATACTAGTAAATCTGTTTCACATGAAATAATTTGATATCTTCACAAAAACTGGTAGCACGGGTAATAATATTGACAACTGAGTAGTAACGTTGCAATGATCTAGATGATCTGTATTTGTTCTATGCGCAATTTAAACGTATCTGTTATGAAGCTAGAGTGAGATTACAAACTGATTGAATGAATAAGCATGTTATATACATTATTTTTCTGACATTTTAGTAAAAATCATATTTTGTGTCTATATTAATCCACGATTTAACAATTCTGTTAATATATATGAATATTTTTAATCATCATTAGTGGAATCTGGATTTCTATCTAACCGCACTAGAAACATGAAACATTGACAAAAAATCCCAGTTTATTTGTATTTTATTTATAAATTACTCTGATGTCTAAAATGCATATAGCTTTTGAATGTATTCTAACGGAAGAACTCAAGATACCAAACGTGTTTTTTTAACAGTGCAGAGCTATTTAACAGTACATCAGTTACCAACTACTATCAATAAATGGTTGAAGAAAATTATGTATCACGGTAAGTATAGTCATTGTTGGACCACAAAGTCTAACAAGCAGTTTTCAATAGCAAAACGGTCGTTGAAATTAAAAAAACCTACAAGGTGAACTTTTAATATCTTGTTAAAATGTGGTTCGCTTTCAATCGACCGGTTAGATTTCGCTTAAACATTTTATGTAAATGTAGCACATATAAGGGTATGGACTGATAAAACAAAATAATATTCGAGAGCTTGTAGGAATATATAAACCTAGAACTGGTCTGCAAATTTGTGCTTTTATGTAAAAGAATTCTTAGAAAATAAAAAAACCTCGACAAAAACTCCCATCTTTACATTTCTATCTGGCATCTTTAGGAAGAAATTTTTTCATATGGCCATTTGCAACAACCGTTTTACCACCATGATAATTATGAAGTATATTACTTTACAAAATTCTAAATCACTTATATATGCAATGGTTTTAACTTTTGTTCAGACCACAATTCTACACTAAGGTGATTACAAACCTGTAATTCATTAACTAGACACATTTTGGCAGACAGTTTAATGAATTTTAGAGATCCCATCACTTCGTAGTGGCAGTCCTTGTGACTTATAAAGTTAACCCAATTTAGGATGTGAAACATCGGCAAAAGGTTTTTACGCGATGTTACCGAGCGTGTGTTTATCAGATATAACTAGTCCAGGTGTGGAATAATAAGGAATTCTGAGTGGTTTATGAGAGATAATGAGATATCTGTTTTCCACTCATGGCAAACATGAAACGAGTATGTAAACTGGGAGTTCTGAGGATTAATAACTGTACAATAAACATATGACCGGACGTTTGCGGTTTTTTAGTAGTTTGTTAGTAAATTTTCGTGGTATATTTCACGTTTCAAACGATATGGATTACTTTTGAACTGTTTGATGGTGTAAGGAAATGGGATAAATAAAGTAAGGAGAATCTTCTAGCTAACTTACAGTAATCGGTCCCCGGCTGTTGTTAAAAGCTGAAGACATTGAATATCCTAAGAGTGCTCCATTTAGTCCAGGTTGCATATGAGTCTCTTTTTCTAGATCAATATCTATTCGACTACACGTGCTCCTCAAAAGTGGACACCAAAACAGTCCACCATTGTTTCCCTCTGTTGGAGATCCTATGACCACCCTATATAAACAGAAGAATATAAAAAGGATGAATCGATATACCCTTTTTGTCCTGAATAGTGAGTATATCCCAATAAGGAAAAACCAAAACTAGAACCATCTGGTCCAGTTTTGAGAAGTGGAGATTTTAAATCAATATTAAACCCATTGACTAATGATATGTACTCGCCAAAACCATGAATAAGAATGACTATTGAAACAATAATCCAATTAAATCCAGTATGCATTGTTTTCTCATTCGAACAGTGAGGGGCTTTCTAACTAAAGCTCTACCTTGATTTTCTAAGCGAACAAAGCCTGCTCAATATCCAATAAATTGGTCTTGGTTTTCGTAGCTTCAGCTTTTACCTGTCACATTTAAATGAAAAGTCGACACTATAAATTGATTTGCACATACATTTAGATCATTTTTCTCGATGTACGTTCAACTTGTAGTGCCGATGAAATATCATTGAACCCTAGGCATATCATACGGGATTTAATTCAAAAAGTACAACTACAACTTGAAAACATGTAGATTTAATTACAGTGTTATCAAGAAAGCAGCAGTTTATATTGAATAGTGAACTTTTCACACTAAAATTTTCAGTTGAAAAGTAACGCGAATTTTATCTGGGATAGATAACTTTTTTGAGATTCTTCACTCATTTAGCTCGCTGTTGGTGAACATAAGAATTTAACGATTATTGGTGAAGACATTTTGTCTGCACAAAGTTGCCTGAATATGTAGCGACAAAAAACTCCTCTCAAAACAATAGTTTTGATAGTGAACCAATCATTTTGAGTGGACGTGAACGGTAGTTATCAACACAGATGTGGTGGTTATATCACTGAAACTCACTTTGTTTGGTCGATTCAGATTCTGTTTGTTGAGCAGTAATTACTATCTTGTCAAATAAGATTGTATTACTTAACAGAGAATATCAGTCTTATGATCAGATTTCACGTCATAGGGGCTACACATTCAGGTTGTGAAAGAAATACAGTGCGGTTAACTATTATCGATCGCCAGATCAGTATAAACGAACAAATAATGTCACAGACAACTGTTTGATGAAGACGTAATAAAATTCAATCGTACCTAATGATTATGATACCACATTTCCCAACACTGAAAAGAACTGAGGTGTCCCACTATGTGATATGTCAGATTCCTCTTGTTATTGATGTCCTGCTGCAACTTCAGCATGCGAAGTCACAGTGCTTTTCATGACTAAGGTACTGAAAACAGAACTCAGTTAAATTTTAATATAGCTGCCGCCTGTGAAGTACAGAGAGGTAACTTCGTGATACGGTCATGTTATATTATGTCAGTGTCTAGCCTGGTAAACCCAATAAATAATATTTAAGAAGACTAGTTCATTAGGGTTTTCAGCATTTCTTTACTTGAGCAACGATATGAGACTTTGTAGTTCGTTTAGAATGGCTGAATGAAGTCTGATTCTCCAGAACCTCAGAACATTTACCGTCCGCTACCTTTGGAGTCTATACATTTTGAATTTCTGATGCAATAGAATCTAAGGATATTGCTACCAAACTGTCAAATTTGCACCTAAAGATATTGATAAGTATGACGACGATTGATAGAACAATATCAGCATAATTCTCCTGACCCCAGCCTACATTGTTTATATTTAAACAGATTTCAACACAACCAAACGTATTTATCCAAAACCGTCGAAGTGGATAAATACAAATAGAAACGTCGTCCTGTCAAGTGTTATTAATTGATGCCTGGAATGTAGTATGGAAAGGTTTGAATTACAGCTTTGAAAATCATACGTATATATGCTCAGAATAGAGGTGGAATTTCATGTCATCTAGACTAAGTGACAATGAAATTGAGAAGGATGTATCGTTTGTAAGCAACCGAGTTCGAAGCAATGATTTAACTTCAATCATTTTGAGGAAATTTCAGGGCGATAATTAAGTAGCATTTGTGTAAAAATCTGAAGAGATATAGACTTTATATGGGAAGGTATAATTATTTCTTGGACCCTCAGGAAGAGTGAGAAGCAAAACTTTGTTACTGGTTAGTAAGAGTGGTCGAAGAAATTACTTAAAGTGAATAACTTACACTCGAATATGACTAGAATGTTTTGGGATTTCTTTCGATCAAATAAAACGTTATCACTAAACGAAAAAGCATTAAGCTCAACGTCCTTTAAAGTCTCATCACATCAGCGGTTACTTCTATTTTAGAGATAAGTTTTTCACGCTCACGTTATAGAGAAGACCCCAGTGGGCCTTGTCTGTTTCCAGTTCTCGAAACCAAATATATAAAAATAGTTCAGGACGATAATTAACTAGATATTTAAAATATGCGTTTCTTAAGATTTACCCTAAGTATTCACTGCACGGCTTTTGTTTTGTTGATCTAATTATTAAAATACTGATAAACATTAAATGAGCGTTTATTTGTTCAATGATGCCTTTACGATTTATATTTCTTTCGTTCTTTATAAGTTTTATTTACACACAACCATGTCGAGAAGTAGTTGCCATACAAATTTTCAATTTACTCATTTTAGAGTGACTTACAAATGAAAAGCACAAGTTGTGATACTTCTGGAAGTAGATGGCTTTTCAAAATACCAAAGGATGATAAAAAATGTGACCTGAACAGCTTGAGTTTACCAAGAAAAGTCGATAATTGTGGTAAGAATGTTTTGATGTTGCTTTATTTTTCCAGAAACAACTTGTCCAAGTGGAATGCATCTTAACCTATTGTCACAGAACTGTGAGGTCTGTCCATCCGGAACGTATTCAACAGGTGATATGCTTGAAGTAACAAAATGGGATTCGATGCCAGACTTTTTGACCTCTGATACAACCTATGGAAGTTTAACTAATGAAAAATGCAACTTGTGAGTATTTGGAGTCTAAACGTTGACATATCGTAATACATACCTCTTTATTTCATTCTTTATTTATGAACATGGTACCTGAAAAATACATGTAGCATTTAATTACCATAGAAAGATGGTCAGTGATTTTACATCCACATAATTTAATTTCACTTCTACATGCGTCAAATGCTAATTGTATATACTTAGCTGTAATGTATATTTCCAGTTTTTAGTTCGATAAAGATGCCACTTAAAAGTACATAAGTGAGTTTCCACAGTTCTGTGCGGTCGACGACATGACCTATCCTGCAATCAGATTCATAGTTTTGTGTGTACTACATATACATGAATTCATAATGGAAGTTTAGTTTATTTACAACGAAGTACAGGTTAAGCTAAGGCACTACATTTTTAAAATTGTGTTTGACCTATTTTTTATAAAACAGAAGTAAGAAGTAAATTTAAGCATTTGCAATTACTCATAACGACAGAAATGTATGATGGCAAGATGAAATTCAAAGACTGGTAGTAGAGTGAAAACGTCCAAGCCATTCAAATAAGGTATTATGGAAATAATTAACGAGTAGAAACTGACAAATACAAAATATGTAATGTACATCATTACTGAACCAGTTATTTGCTTAAATATTCAATTTGAAAGGGTTTTGTATTAGTCTGAAGTCAATAACAGTAGAAAATAAATCAAAGACTGAATAAAATGTTGAATATATCTGATAATGGTTAAGTATGTTTTAAACATCTGTCGTAGAAAATCTTGTCATATCGAATACTCTTTGTATGTTTAAAAGTAGTTTAATTCATGCTAAACACGTTAACAATATTTCGTGTTTAGGGGAGAGCTCTTGACTCTTTATAACACTGACGTAGAACCCAGTAGTTTCCATTTTAAAACCATTCAGGTCATGAACAAGCATGTTCACTGTTCATCTCACTGGGGATTCTTTCCTTGACACCTTTCCTGCAGCTTAATGTTAATCATAAATTATTTACTACTTTAGTATCTTGGTAAGCTTGATTGTGCTCAATAACTAAGTTTTCACTTTTAAAATTTATTAGACACCTTATGTCTTATTTGAACTTATTTAACTTTTCACCGTAGTGTACGTTGTAGTGTGGCGCCGATTTGCGGTTCCCTATTATCACCACTACAAGAAGGTTGCGTACCAGATATCAGAAGGCGACTGGAGGTTGTAGCGAGATATATTTGTAGGTGATCTCGTGGTATCGAAAAAATACCGAGATCGTGCCAAAAGAGTACAAGCGGGATCACTGAGCAAACGTAAGCGAATGAAAGGTCACAATCAGCGGAAGAATGTATGTATTTTGGTACAGTTAAACAAACAAGTACGGTAAAAAAGTTCGTGACACAATTGGTTATAATAATAATTGTTGCCATCACACCAATCGCGTTCTCTTGATAAAAGTAGGTCACTACAACGTCTAATTTCATAGGATAGAAAAGACTCATATGGATGGCTGGCTACTTGATCAGAGTGCCATTGATTGTCTTTGACTTCGTTGCTATTCAGTCTTTAGTGAAAGTCAGTCGTGGTTACTGACCTGGAATAATTAAACAAACATGACTGTTCTGCTTGTCGATATAATATGCAAATTGCTGGCAATGAAAAAGCTCAAATCGACATTTAGCGTAATTACTTTGATCAAGTGTTGTCCGCTTAATATTTCAACAATTCTTTGCCTACAACCTATCACTATCGCCAAGACTTATTTAATCAATATAATTTTTATGGAAATTGAATATTAGGTCCACATTGATATAGCCTTTCTGCACAGTCTTCAGTAATAATATGCTAGTCTTGAACACTATTCCCCTTTTTAAATCTTTAACCACGCATATATGATAACGCTGGGGCAAAAGTTTAAACAACTGTTGTTCAAACATGTCGATAACAAAAATTATCTTGCTTCAGTGAAGTGTTTTGATCTAGAGTTAAGTGATTACAAATCCTGAAATTTACTTCAGTTTATTGCTCTTAACTTCCCCTTTATGTCTTAATATTCGGCAGTCTGTCTAGTATAACTCCCTAATTGTTTTCATGAGTACTGATTTCATCATATTCAAGTCAAACAAAAGCTGTGAATGACCTGAAAATTACTAGTTTTGTGGCATTATCTGCTACAAATACGGTGTTATGGGGTAAGTGAAAATGTACAACTATGTATCTGATTGAGCTTTAAAGTCATAGCTGCGCAAGACCATCGATAACTTAAGATAGATTTGCAGAATTTCGAGAATTAGTCTAAAAGTCTACTGGTAGTCAATTAGGAGTCACTTAATCTTGGTGTTCTGAATTTGAAATAAAAAACATATCGCGTATTCAGAGAAGACGGTTATTCATGCCTACCAGGGGGATTGTCTAATCGATTTTAAGATACATATATTGTATAGAATT